TACATACACACAAAGAGTACCTTGCCTGTGCGTTGTGTGTGTGTGTGTGTGTGTGTGTGTGTGTGTGTGTGTGTGTGTGTGTGTGTGTGTGTGTGTGTGTGACCTGTGACCTGGTCTGGAAGTCCAGCAGTTCATCTAAACAAAAGGCACTAGGAGTAAAACAGATATAGATGTGTGTGTGAGTGTGCATGCCAGAACACTCTGGAATGCACACGAAGTCTTTGCAGACTCCTAAGGATCACACATCCTATCACTACACAATCGATTATACACCTCTAAGCATATATGGTTAAATATTTCTAAGCATAAATGACAATCAACAATATAAACCTGACAGATGCATTATCTGGATAAACTGTGCTTTAAGCAAAGGGAATTAAATGATGGAATAATTTACCAAAGACAGTGGAGAAGCAGCTGATCATGAAAAATACAGTGATCATGTGCATATAGTATGTGGGGCTGCAAATTTACTAACTGATTCAACAAGCTGTATTAAAAATGAAACTGTGTGAATATTTCATTTTCATTTTCATGAGTAGCAGGTTGGCGTGGTTTATGGCAACAGTAACCTAATGGATCATAATCTTTCTATCTTGTAAGTGATAGAAGATTGATTCATTTATGTTTCTTGGCTCACCAACTCATTGTGAAATTTGACACACCCTGCTCTTGTAGATGTGAATATAACTGTGATATAAAAATTAGAGTATAAAAGTTAATCTCACTTTCAGTTCATGTGTGTACAGCATACTTCTGCAGGATTGAGTTACCAACTGATTTTGTGCAACAGCAGTGGGAGTCATATTTTTTTAATATGTTCAGCTCAGTTCAATTTAATTTAATTAAAAAAGCAAAGAGATTAAAAGATTTACATCGAAACTTGGGGGGTTCAACTAATAGTTTGTTGGCTTTGCTTAGGATAACATTTGACACAAACTTTCCTATATAGCCCATGTTTATTTTTTTATATGTTAATTAGTTTGTTTTTGTGTTTTACATACAAGAGTATGAACGATTATCTGTCCTCCTGCAACCCAGATGAGGATAAGTGTAAGAGGATGGGTGGAGAAGTATATTTTAGCATCAGTTTTTTCTGGTTTCCAAAAGATCCTGTCAGACCACTTCCAGGTGTCTTGAACAGCTTGATCGATACATTGTGGCTGTTGCATTCTTTATAACCTCTTTATTCTCCTCGATAGTTTTAACACTGACAAAGTCTGTGTGATATTGCCTGCAGTGGCTCTAAGAATTATTTCACCATGATGTAGCGTAGGGCTAGCATACAGGGTTTAGTGTTTTCTCCCATAGTTGTTCATTGGAAGAACATTTTTTTAGATTTTGCGAGTCACATTTTAAGCATGTAAAAGCCTCAAGCTGCTACAAATGTCAGAGTACCAATTCTCAAACCCTTCTTATTCCATCCACACAGTCGCTGACCCCTTGGTTGTTACTGCAGCTGTAAATGGCAATTCCTCCAATGTCCTCATACCACATCCAGAAGTCAGTCGTTAATTTCTCTCAGCTATTACCCACATAGCAAAATTCATATCGTCCAGATTTGGCCCACACGATGTGCTTACACATGGCCCACATACCGCAAAGAATGACCTCTTGTTTGCCAGAGGTGCACAAGCACAAGACCAGTTACAAACACACTGGTGGTCCTGTGCTGGCCCATGTGTGGATTACCTCTGAAAACCAATCATCATGTGTTTTAAAATGCACTTATAAGACTCGTCAAAATATTGAAAGATCTAAGGTCAAATGGTGGAGAGTCCCAGATATATATATATATATCTGGGATATATCTGGGACTCTCCACCATTTGACCTTAGAACTGAAGAAGCTTCTCGGATGAGAGGTGAAACTTCTTCAAGCAACTTAAAGAAGTCCAGACGCTTTTCTTTGCAAGCTCCTTTGACTACGATGACCTGGATGACTGAGAACCTTCACAGACCAATTTTAAAAGTGGTTGAAAATAAAGCAAAAGGTTTACAGTTTTATAATCCATGAATGCAACCGCCAAAGAAAGAGTGGGTAAATAGCATCAGCTTCTCTATATAAACACTGAGCAATGTGTTGCACCATAATTATAAAATTAAGTATGTTTTATTGAATTAAAAACAAAAAAAGACGATAACATTTCAATTATGTGTAAAGATTTTTTAATATTAAGCAAGTTATTTCAAGTGCCTTATGTTTGGCATGTGGAAGTATCACCATCATCAGGGAAGTCTAAGAAACACTTCTGAGATAAAAAAAAAAAAAAAATTTAAATAGTGCTATTTCTTTTTAGAAGACAATAGCGAGTGTAGGGGATCGGATGGGGGATCAGAATCAAAAATAAATACCAAATCAAAACAAATGTGAATCACAAGTTGAAAATTCAGAAAAAATACTTTATTGTGGACATACAAGTGGCTGCCTGTAGCATTATAGAGGCCACATGTTTTTGTTTCTCTCCAGTGATAGGAATGGAGAGAGAAAGCTAATTTTCCTGCATTTTTAAAGCTCATCCTTATTCAATATTATGTTGTATAAGTACTATTCCCACCTATAGTTCCCACCTAGATTCAATGAGGTGAGACATGATCTTTAACCTACTAAGACCTGAACTCTTCCACTGCATGCATTTTTAATTTCTCTTTGATATTTGGGCTGATTGGGACCCAATGAATGTAAAAACAAATAATCACCAGATTTTCTTTGTTTTTTTTACCCAATTTTTGTTTCTAAGAAAAATGAGAGCCACATATGAGGATATTCGTTTAAAATTTTGATAGAACAGTACCAGTATAATGTCCTCGTAAGTGGATATCAGGCCCTTGTAGAGCAAAATTGAGTATTTTGGTTTAAAGAACCCAAAATGTGACGTCCACATAGAAGGTTAAACAATCCATCCATCGACGCTACAGTAAAACAACATGGGCACGTCTGCAGTCAGCATCCTGGAAAGAGAAAAACATATTTAACTTGTTTTTGCTTTTAAACTATATTTCTTTCCACAAAATGACCTGTATGTTTCAAATGAAAACTAGTTGAATTGATGCATGATATATACAGTCTGCAGTGAACATCTCATCCCCGTCTTCTCCGTGGTTTGTAGCTAACGCTGAAAGACACTGCCATTTTTATCACTTTGCCAGCTGAGTTTGAAATCAGCCACCCCTTGATCTCTCAGGATGGTCTCCAACTTAAAAATAAAAGACATTATAGAAGAAAATAGCTGTTTGTGTAACAAACAGGTAATAATCACGACTAAATGTTTTTAAATCATGTTAAATGTGAAATTTCTTTTTGTTTTAGAACAAAATAAAGAACTTTTGCTTACTTTTATAATTTTTTTTGTACCTAATTCTTAGTAAAGAGACCAGGAACCTTGAATCTACGTTTGTACCTTCATTAGGAGTTGACTGGAGGCAGTGGAGTCCATGAGATCCACATCAGACTTCACCTTCATCCTTATGACCATCTTTTTTACTTTGGCATCTGTAGAAGACAAATACAGAACTACATCAGTTATTATTGTGATTTTTATTATTTTTTTAACCCATGTTCTGAAGCTTGAATGAACACAACAGTTGTATCACATTTTTCTAGGAACTGATTTATTACTTGTGTATTTCAGGAACTTACCTCCTTGACAGATAAATGTTGCTTTCTGGTTACAGTCAGCTGGTATCCAGCGTCCCGTCTGTGATCCTTCCACAGAAGCACAGTTTCCACTATAACTTCCGCCTCTTTTCCAGTACCTGAAGGAGGTCTTTGTTCCATCTGACCAAGCCCAGGAGTCTTTAAACAGACCCAACCACACTCTGTTGGTAACTGCAGCAATCGCTGCATTTTCCTTGTCTGTAAGCACACATGCCAGATCAGTGTGCTTCTGCCTGCACAGATCTTGACTGCTCTGCCAGGTTTGTACCTGTGTGTAAACCACATACTTCTTGCTGCCATCCTGCTGAACTAGAGACACACATAGAGAAATGAATAAAAGAGAGTTAGACTTGTATCTTCAGCCAAGAAAAATAGTCAGGTAGGAGATTTAGAGCCAAATTACTAACAGCAGAGCCATGATGTTTCTGGTCATAAACACTTACACAATTTTAAGGTAAACATTTTACCTTAAAATTTAAAGCGGCTTTAAACAGCCAACTGTTTTTATGATATGTCACTATATAAACAAAACTGAATGTAACTGCAGTACGACGTCAGCTTGAACTGTGTTATCTTGGTCACTAAATCACTTGCTCCTTCATTTAGTCTGTTTAAGATCCATTATTTGCTCAGCCATCGTTGGATCGTGTTGGTCATTACTGTAATGACCAACATCATACAACAATGCTTTATCTTTGGTACTTTAAAAAAAGTTCTCAACCTCATTGTATCATTAAAAATACCAGAAATGTGGTCAGGGAGCTAATAACTGGATCTTTAGAAATATCAACATTTTTAAATAACCAACATTTTATTTATTTTTATTTTTTCGACTGGAATTCATCCTAAAGTTCAGTCAAAGGAGCTGTGATGAGCTTGAGGAGAAAATACAAACCTACCCAGAGAATAACCAAAGTTGGTGGCATATATTACATCCTTTTGGAAACATAGTTGTTGTACAAATGTTTATTCAAGCCAAAATATTGAGTTCTCATAATCTCAGCACTAAAATGACTTTAAATGATCATTGTGTGTGCTACTCACCTGATTACTGTTTGTTTTTGTTTTTAGATAGAACTAATAATAATAATTACTAATAAAACTAATATAGATTAAATTTATCATCATCAATAAATATTTCATATTAAAATTATTAGACAGATCAAAAGTAGCAAAAGTAGCATGCACTCTTAAGTCCAGAAAGTTAATTTTAATCACTCTCAAAAGTGTGATTGCAATTTACTCACTTTCATAACACACATAAGCTTTGGTTACGTCACATGAATCATCATTCCAGAAGCTGTTGTCATACATCTCTGCACACGACTCTATGCCACCATAGTTGTCTGGCTGACCAGAGCTCCATTTGGTGAAGCTCGCCATGCCGCTCCCATCAGACCACAGCCACCTGTTGTTCTTTCCGTTGTAAAGTCCGATCCATGTGGCGGTCGCTTGACTGTCCAGTGTACTGACCAGCTGATTTTCTTCATCCATGTTGTTTATGGTTGCCAGGTCAGTGTATTTTATTTTGCAAAACCTCTGAGCCTCATACCAAGTCAGGGTTTCATTGATGAAGTGGTACTGCACTAAAACACAAGATTATCCAGTCTTACACACAGACGCCAAGAAATAATTCTCAGTTTGTTCCAATGTTGTTTAAAGATTTTAGAGAGACAATGGTGTGCCAATGCAGCTTTAAGAGATGACAATAATTATTGAGTAAATGTTTGCCACGATCATAACTGGCAAACTGTGTGTGTGTATGCATACTGACCAGTGTGCTTATTTACCTGTTTTACTGGACCCTGTCGAAACCAGTGCCATCCTGCTGGTAGTCATGAAAAGCATTACAAAAATTCCTGCAGCCAAAACATGCAGAATAATAACAAGCAGTCATCCATTGAATGTTGTGATCATAGTATGTTGTACTATAACGTTACAGAAGCAGTAGAAGCTGGCTAAATTATTTTAAAAGCAAAATCTGTAAACTTTCATCCCAATATTAATGACACCAATTAAATTGAAAACTTTAACATTTCCATAGAAATGATAGAAGCAGAGATTATATTTATCTATTTCTATAGTTATGGTGTTAAGGCTTTAAAAACTTTGGTATTATCCTTATTGTCCTATTATTCTGTTGTCTACTCATGTCTATTTGTTTGTTTCCCAGGTTGTTTCTCAAGATCATATTTTGAAAGGATACTTTTATCAGTCAAAAAATATATACAAATGGCAATTGATTCATTTATTGATTCTTGAATATTGCAGTGTACTTTTTGCTTGCATCAGAAAACAAAGCTTAATTATTCTTATTCAGTTTCTTTGACACGTTGGGCCCACTTTGCAAATTAGCCAGTGCTGGGTGTTAAATCTCTCTGTTGTCATTTGGCTCTTCCTGTTCCCACAAGATGCTTCCCAGTTTACAACATTATAATAGGTAGCAGTAGTGGGCTTTTAAAACTAGATGCACAGAGAGGATTCAAAATAGTTTACATTGATTTATTTCATAGTTAATCTTATGATCTTTGATATTATTTATTTATTGAATTCATAAAAAAGATTTTGTTTTCACAAAATGTCTTCTTCATATTCATGATTTTGTGTATTAAGATGAATTAGTCTGGAAACAAGAAACACAAAAGGACAGCTTTTTTAAAATACACCTATTGACAATTTGAAATAAAGATATAGATTTTGCCTTTACTAATTTATATTTAAAAGAATTATACACAGAGTTAAACAAGTGTCTGATATTGTCCACTACATCTGATATATTTTATCTATGCACCTTCGGTAGATCTGAAGGTGCATTTACTTGTACAGTGTGCAAAGCAGTTTTGGAGAAATTGAAATGTATTTGGTTAAAGATGCATCACAAAAGATTTAAAGAACCACTGACAGTCATCAGGTAAGTGGAATATAAGAAATTAAGAAAATTAATTAAGATTAAATGTTACTATTTGGTTGAGGATAATTATACACTAAAATCACACTAACATAAATTTGTTAAGTCATTCTGAAAGAAAAGCAAATCAGGGTCATATAATCACAGGATTCCTAAAACTGCTATAAAAAGTTTACAGAAACGATGCTTAGACTACCTATAATGCAACAAAAGTCAGCTCATGTAAAATGCTTTTAAAATGTATATATGTGTATATATACACATTCATAACTTGTATGTAAGTCCTTTGACAAACTAAGTACACCCCATGATTTAATAAAGTTGTCTGGAACTAATACAGCATCGTTCTAATTGATTTACATCTTTTCTACAAAACAACAAAAGAAACCCCAAGACGTCATGTGCAAAAGAAGACGTCACACACAACGTGCTCTGTTTATCGAAGTAAAAATGGCGGCTAAGATGGTACATTGCTCCCATCCTGGGTTTGTTTTTGCGCTGGTTGACCGTTATAGCGCTGGTGGAGCTGGTTAGTTGTACTGAACATGTGTCGTGCGTGTGCGTGAATGATAAGTAAGTGCCTTGTATTTGTTCTATGGCTGTAACTCATCCTATACTCGCCCATGTATGCCGTGTGATACTTATATAGAGTTTGCCAGTGGTTTGTGTCGCCACGAGACACTGTGGTTACTCATGTTGATTTGACCAAAATGGCGCCACCCTTGTGGCTGAGCTGCTCAAAGTAAAGATGGAGTCCATCCCTGTGCAGCAGCCCATTTGTGTCCACCAGGGGGTGGTGTTTAGTCATTTCTGAATTAGATTTTTCTGTTCAACCCTTTCTGTATTATTTAGACCAGTTTGGTTGACTTTAATTGTTTGCTAATTGTAATTTCCGTTATTTTACAGAACCACACATACATATACTCACACAAATTCACTTCTGAAGATGTTTTGGATTAAAGGAACCCAAATTATCATTGCTGTGGACCCTCTCTTTCATCATATAAGTCACCTGTGCCTTCTGACCAAGGATAGGAATATCCTGCTGTAATTTGCCAGTTTATTAAGCACACACATGTCCAGTTCACTGCTCTTTGGGAAAACTTTTGCACATACTTGCATAGATACTTTCAATAAAAAACTCATATTTTATTGATTATGTATAAAACATTATAATTATTTTTAATTATAAAATATGATATATAAATCTTTATAAGGTGTTTGTTTTGTTAAGTGTGGACACACACTAAAAGGTTATGAGGAGGACGTGGCTTTTCAGCAGCTGGGTATGATAAGGGCTGTCAATTGCTAATTAAAAGGGCTTCTTCTTTTGCTGCTGGTAGAAGCTGGTAGAGTGCTCTAGAGCTGGCGTTTTATATCAATAAAATAAAATTTTGATCAATAAAAAATAACAAATTTGGGCTGTACAGAATCCAGTCACTAGCTGCAGTTATTGGAGCCTTGGTACTCAAATGGCGATTCGTTCCACTCCCTCAGAAACCTGTCATTCTTAATTTGCCCTGCTTGGTTTCATTAAACTTGAGTGTCTGCTGCCGTGTGATATCCAGTAGAGTCATCAACACATTATACTTTTGAAAGACTCAGTCTTAGAGGCCTATCGGGGTGTCCTCAGTTACCTGTTGAATGTGACACAGTCATCACCTCTGCAGTCCTGGTCTTAGTCGTCAAAAGCACAAAGAACATTCCTGCAATTCACAGAAAGAATTTGAATATGGCTGAAGTCAACTGTGGGAATTTCTTTGAATGGAAAATTATCCTTATTTGTTTAGTCTCAAAGCCTACCAGGCAGAGAAATGTTGTGTCATATATTGCACCTAATATATTTACAAAAAATATTAACTATGAATTAATTACATGGTAATTTATTATTCGGTAATCAAATGTTTACAAAAGCACCATAAAAATAATGAAGCCATTGAGCTTCAGTAAATTTCATTTTACGCCTACAGTTTACTGTATGCAAAGACAGAATATCTAAACTCAGCTATAGTATCTTTGTGTTACTGAAATGCTGCGTGAAACTACTCGGTAGTTTGCACAGGAAAAAGAAAGAGTGGTGCGCTCGGCCATGCAGCATTCGCTCTGAACTTCCCGACCTGCTGTCTGTCTACACTAAGTGGTACAAGACTAAAGCCAGAAAGATTATGATGGACCTCTCCCATCTCAACAATGAACTCTACTCACTGTTGAGGTCTGGGATGCACTTCTGCTCTCTTAAGGCCAAAACAGGAAGAATGAGGAGGAGCTTCTGCCCCCAGGCTATTCAGGCCCTGAACCAGGTGTAGTCTCGACTCTCATACATCACATCACCGCATGCACACTGTTTATTTTCACATTCTCTTTTTATCTTATAATTTACCTTTAATCCTTAGTTTAGTCTTTACGTCTTAGGTTAAATTCTTAATTTATTCTTTACATCTGTTAGACCTTTTTTTTTAATCTATTATGCAACTATTACCTCTTTCTCTGTAATTTTTTCTAACTGTAAATTAATCTATTTAATTTTTCTGTAAACTTTTTAAATGTTAAATTTGTAAATTATGTAAATTTCTTTACTGTAGTTTAATGGTCGGGCATTGCACAGCAATAAGAATTTCACTACATGTTGTACTGTGTATGACTGTGTGTGATGAATAAAATTTGAATTTGAATTTGATTTGAATATGTAATCAGTTCATGTCAATTCAATTTTATTTACACAGCACTAAATCACAACAATAGTTGCCTCAAATAGCTTTATATTGTAAGGTAGAGGCGACAATAACACATACAGAGAAGAATCCAACAATCAAAATAATGACAAAACTTACAAGCTTTAAATTTGCATTTTATCAAGTGTCACTGAGCTGTCCTTTCTACAACCTTTATAAATAACCTTTATTAATAAATGTAACCTCTCTTCTTGCTTTCCTTTCCTGTCTTTTCTTAAATCTCCCAGTTCACAGCAGCTTGACCTGAAGCTATCAACACACTGTGCAACACAACTGCACACAAACAGTTTGTGTGTTTGCTGATGAATTTTTTTAGAAATGTTGATTACCTGACACTTATAAAAGGGTCACTCCATTTATAGATTTTATATTTACAGATACCAGCACTCCTTCCAGCCTACTTTGAGTCGCAAGTATAAACGTTATAAAAGAACCTAAAGTACCGACTTGAAAACACAGGAAGTAAAAAATACAGATATTTGTTTAAAAATGTAGCGAGTTAAAGTAAAAAGTTGTCAGAAAAATAAATATTCAAATAAAGTATAGGTACCTGAAAATTCTACAGTTTTAAATAATAATAATAATAATGGATTGGATTTATATAGCGCTTTTCAAGGCACTGAAAGTGCTTTACAATGCCACTATTCATTCACTCTCGCATTCACACACTGATGGAGGTAAGCTACGGTTGTAGCCACAGCTGCCCTGGGGCAGACTGACAGAAGCGAGGCTGTCATATCTCGCCATCGGCCCCTCTTGTACTTCTGAGTATAATTATAATTGCAGGTTTATATTCTAAAAATCCTATAAGGATACTATCAAATTTTGAAAGCCAAAAATCAAAGAAAAAGTTTTTTACCTCCACAGATTAAGAGTTTACGATTGCAAAAAGAGCAGAAAGTACATCAAATTATGTAACACAAAATCAAACTTTATAAGTTACAAGGAATTCAGACATTAGAACTAAAAACAACTGTTGTAACTACCAGTAAAGCAACAAATAGAAATAAATAAATGTTTGTACATGTAAATAATTATTTATAATCAAAGTTTAGAAAGTACCTGATATGATGCACTGTGTATCCTGTGGCTTCCTTGTAATGTCTGTGGTTGTTTTAAGTGTGCAACGTGCCAAGACATTCACACTGTATGGAAATCCATCACAATGAGATGGATTTGCATGC